CGTGAGGGATTTTTGGGTAACTAGTTTCTTTTTCTGTTATATGATTGTTTGCCAAGAGATTTTCAAATTGCAGGTTGTTGCGAGAGATTTTTGGACAATTGAATTCAATGAATCGAACTGGATTCTGTCGAACTTCAATCTTGAAAATGGAAAAAAATGAATCGAGCTGCGTTTTGTCGAACTTCAATCTTGAAAATGGAAAAAACACCGAAAAGAATAGAAACAGTAACCGATGGCCAAAGAAGCAATTGGTAGTGGTGATGTGGGACCCATTGAATGGATTTGGTGCGTTTTTGCCAAGTAGCATGTGACGTGGCAAAAATTGTATGTATGTCATTATTTTTTTAAGTTTTGCTTTTCACATCATTAAAAAAAATATAAAAAATGCCACCTCAGCAGGGTTAACGGCTCAAATTAACAGAAGGACTAACGGAGTGCATTTCGTATAGTTGAGGGATCAAAAAAGTGCAAAAAATTGTTGAGGGACCAAAAATGTTCATTTTTTAAAGTTGAGAGACCAAATTAAGCATTTAACCAACATTTTAAATTAAAAACTATGATCAAGGGAGTATAAGAAAGTTTTCAAGCTCGAACTAAAGTTCAACCACCTCTGCTTCAGTCAAACCAATTAAACCAATTAGACTACAATCTAATCGGATGACGTTATACACACCTTGCCTGTAAAGTCGATTGGTAATTGGTGTGTCTCCCCAACCCATGGGCTGGGTTCAATACGCTTCCTCTACTCCAAAAAATTGCCCTTGTTTAAAAAAAAAAAAAAATCGAATGATGTTATAAAAGATTTCTTATACTCCTATCTCACAATACTATGTTTGAATAATATATTTTTTATTTAAAATTTATTTAAAATAATAATACTTTTATATTTTATTTCAAAGAAATGAATATTTTTTATTTTATTCTTATAATTATTTTCTAATTTTAATCATTTATTTTATCATAACAAATTTTCTATTTTTATTGTTTAGAAAAAAAATAAAAATTACTTCCAAGTCTTTAATCTAAAATAAAATAAAATAAATTTATTATTTTATAATAGAGGAAGTAAATTATATATATAAGAAATTAAGCTCCCAAGCCACCTTATGTGTAATTTGCATGTACTATAACATTTTAGTAATAAATAAATATAATAATATTAATTTATAATTAAAATTAATTTTTAATTAATAAATATAAAAGTCATTTTAAAAATATTTTACTTTATTATAAACAAATATTTATCCTCCATATCAATTAAAATTTATTGAAATAAACACAATAAAACAGTTTATTATATTTATCTCTTAAGTTTTTCTAACATGTATAAGCATAAATTAAAGATGTAATAAATATATTTTTTGTAATTAATTTTTATTAAAATTATAAATTTTAATTTTAATTTAATTAATTAACTAAATAAAATTAATTATGTGTAAGTGATGTTAAAATAAGTGTTAATTTTTATATTTTTTATATAAATTAATTAAAAAAATATATTTATTAGACTATTAACTTATACCCTTAAAACATAAATTAGACAAATCTTTATCTCTTTTCACCTCAATTTGTCCTATCTCTTCCAGATGTCCATATTAAAAGGTATAAAGTCAGCATATAAAAATTATTGCTCATTAGCAATGTACTCCTTGAACCTTTTTATTTATTTAAACTCTATCTTTCATTAGTTTTTTTATGATATCATCTCTTAATTTACCTTTATATATTTTATTATTATATTTATTTACCTACGTATATTTTCCCTCACTTTCTTTGTTTATATTAATATTTATTCCTTTTTCCCTTATCCTCCCACTCAATTTTCATTTTTTAATTACTCTTTACTCCATCTATCATTGTATATCTTTTTTATTTTAATTCTCTCTCTCTTTATCTATATTAAATATACTCTAAATCAATACTTAAAATGCATAATTTGTTAACATTATTTTATTTATACTTTTTTACTTACATAAAATTACTCTAATCTCTTATTAATTTTTCTTATAACATCTCACGTCAAAGTACGCAAAGACTATCAATGATATTGTCATCTTTGATCCGTCAAAGTGGGCCTCCCACTTTGAAAGGCCTCCCACTTTAAAAGGCCTCGTTAGGTTGATGGTGGGTTTGCACTTGTAAGTTACAAACACATGATCCCTCACCCATATGACCGAAGTGGGATTTGTCTTGGGCACTAGGTGTTGACATCCACCTTCCATGTAATGAATTATTACATTCACCCCTTTTGGGACTCAATATTCTTGTTGAAGTTTACCCTACGATCTAGCTGAGGGTCACGTGTATGGCTTTGATGCTAATTATAACATTTGAGCCAAAATACTTGAATATCATTAATAATATTGTCTACTTTGATCAATTAAAAGAAGTCTTATGGTTTTAAAAAACCTCATTAGCGTGGTGAATTTGGACTTATAAATACAAGATCCCTCTTATTTTTTTAATGATGTGGGATTCGCCTACGGCACTAAGTTTTGACACCTTTCTAAGGGTGTTCACATCTCTATGTGATGCGTTATCACATTTCTTGTGATATTATCCCTTTACTTATCCTTTCATGTTTTTTCATTGTGGGCCTATTTGATACAGTGGTTAAAATTCAGCGGATAGCGAATAGCGATAACGGGTAGCAAGTGGTAATTAACAGATAACGGATGGCGAATAGCAGAAAGTGAGTAGTGGATGATAAATAATGAATTTGATAAATATAATTGTTTGGCTATACAATTATTAATGGTTGTTGTTTAACATTAAATGATTAATAAAGACATGTTTAAAAACAAATAAATGTATTTTTTAAAATATTTTTATTTTTTATTATTAAA